CTTGGTTAATTTGTTCGTAACAATACTGTTTTTTACGACGAAAGGTTGTTACCCTCACGCCCAACCCCCAAGCATGAGGGCCTGAGATGATGAGATGATGCTTCGTATTGTCCGATATGAAATGACCGACTTTTCGAAATGTTTACAGACTCATCGCTTTCTGATGACTCTGAAACGTCGGTAAATTTTTACCAAAATTTACACTGCGGACATCCCAGAAGTTAGAAATCTTCACGCTTGACGCTCAAACCCTCAGAGTAGACAAACACGGTCTGTTAGTTATCAAAAATTACCCTGGTCCACGGGGCTGATAAATCACAGGATTTATTTATACAAGTTAATATAAGGGTTTTGAAGATATCAACTATTTATAACTTGATGATGATGACAAACAACGCAGGATAATTTTCATGAAACCACGGACAAGATTGACATACGGTAACAGTGACAGAATGACATTGATAAAACCAGTTAAAGCAGAGATCAAGCCCATTCATTACGATTACAACTCTATGACAATCCGCTAACCAGCTGTTTGTGTCAACACGACTTTTCCTTTGGTTAGTTCATATCTGCTGAATCGAAGTTTCCGCATTTCCTACCATTAACCACTTCACAAACCTCCAATTTTTTCATATTTAGCTTCAAAGACCGGCCGTGAGAATGGTTACAATTGCCATCGTGTTTAACCCTTTTATACCATTCACGACATATCTCGATTACAAATATTGAACTTAACACTGATGATTGATCCTACGTTCAGTACAATCAGCTATGTATCTCAGTATGAATATTTTCTGATTAAGGGTTGGACGACCGGGGTTCGATCCCCGAGTGAGGCAGAGGATTTTTCCAGTTGCCTCTGAGTCCAGACCGACTTTGGGGCCCACCCTGTCTCCTGTCCAAAATTGAGAAAGATTAGGAGCTATATACCTTCTCTGCAACAGGGAATACTAAGATAGCTTCACATTAGTTCACTTGGTTCTGAATTATTTAAAACATCAGCTCAGTTTTTCAATCGATAAATCAAAAAAAAAAATAATGGTAATGTCAAAATATATATCGTAGCTCACAAATATTACAACTTTCGACGAAGCAAAAAGATTTTTATGAATTCTGTTGCAACTTATGGTTAAAATCCGATATGAATTTGGGTTACAGAACACATTTTATGAGAATATTTCTAAATCAAAATAGAAACGGAAACTTTTATTTTACTTAGAAGCGACATATCTGCTGAATTAACCAACTTCTGCAATTTTTTAAATTTTTTTTATTTATTTTTGCAGAAAACGTAATATACTACGTTGAATTAAACTTGCAAAACTTTTGTTAGGTTCCTTTTTCGAAATTCGTTTACCCAGCGCACAGCTGCTACACGGGGAAATGTGTGACATGCAGTGGGCAGTTTTACTCGATTACTCAGAATCAGGACGAAAATTTGATTGTGGGCAGACTTGGAACAGAAGTGACTTTCTTTGCTAAGTTTTCACTCCATGGCTAAAGGTACACTTTTACAAGTAAAACGTAGAGACTCCGATACAGTCAACAACAAATACTTTCTTAGATGACTGTCTTCTGCATTGTAATACCTTGTAGTCTGGTAGAAGTTTACAAACGTTTCGTAAGTCTTTGCTACTTCCATAACCAAGGACAATATTAAACCCTGACGATTCCAAATAATTAAGACAAGGCACCAAATTAATGCTGAATAAATTATAGTATTTGAGATTCAAAGTATAAAGTTTTTAAAAAATACTAATCTGTTTTATAGCAATTTTTAAATTAAAAAAAAGTTCCTTCCACTCAGGGGGAAAATTCTTTATATACAAAATATACACGAGATCTTGGACTAACACCTTGACAAACTACGTAGAGTTTTATTAATATATTTCAATATTTTTAACGTCAAGTTAATTACAGTCACAACTGGCATGAGGCATGGACGAAAACATTTATTTTCGAAATATTATTGTCATGTGCAGACTGATTAACCTGTCCCTGTTCACCTGTAAGAACATGTGTTGAAGTGGGAAGTGATTCAAAAGTTCCATTGTATAAACGCAACCCTGGACTGCGCATGCGTACCACGTGACTACTTTGCTTCAACCGGTTATGCCGTAGAAGGTCAGTACTAGGATTGCTTTCGTGGAACACACATCTAATTCTTTAGGTGTAAACTTGAAGGAGGTTAAACAAGAGCTTGAGAAAATATATAACAAATCTCACGTATCACATCCCAGAACAATGCTGCATTGACTGACAAGTTTACGACAACAGGATTACTAAGTGACGTGTCGAGATCTGGCAGGCCACGAGTGTTAACATGCAAGAACTTCTTCCTGGACGTCACATGTTCGAAGCGATGAGTCATGGTTTCATTTGCGCAGACGCGTCAACTCCCAAAACAGTCACGTGTAATCGGCATTACATCATTGTTAGAATATCTAGACATCATTGCACGTTCTGAAAACTGTTGTACATCGCGTAGTATAGTAAAACCGAATAATTAGACCTCTAAATATCTGTGCCAATGATTAATTTACTGTAGATATATTATAATGTAATCTTGATAAAAATTACTGTATATAAAGAAACCAATTGAATTTCTGAAATCTGTCAAATGTTCCCGAAAGATATTAACGAAATAAAAACATGTTAAATTAGTAAAATTATTTCTAACTTATTACCTTTTTAGAATTTAAAAGAATTAAATAAAAACGCGATCGTGGCGTGAGGTACACAGGGGTACCAACTTTACCAATTGAATTATACTACGTTACTGACATGAAACTAAAATCCAACATGACCATTCACTTCACCTCTCTGCGTCATGAACCCAATTAAAACAAAATTAGTTCCTTTACTCAAAAATATCTACATTGGCTTATCCTGCTGTAATATTTTCAGCACTTTCACCAACAAAGCTGAACGCAACTGCCATTTGATGGTTACCGGCTGCAAATGCATGACTCTCCGCCATTAGCTACAGTGTTTTCCCGATACGAGTTAAGTATCGACCCATAAAACAATAAAAATCGATTTATATTACAGACGCTTATGTCGCCAGCCATAAAGTTACTGTTCCGTTCAACTTTATCAACAAAAGCACTGTATTAGGAATATTGGATAGACGAAAATGATAAATTAATCACAGAGTGGGTCTAACATGGAGTAAATCGTGAAACTTATGTGTACATATGGTGCATGAGAAATGACGCTCCGTAACATAACCTCAACAGCGACACGAGTAGCCGATCATGGCCGCCATCACAAAAACACACCCAGCCAAACTATACATGAAAATCGCCATCTTACTCTCAACGACACGTAACCTCAAAATCTGCCACAGCCAACTTCTTTCTCTGGTAAATCGTATGTTCCAGTGACGTTATAAAATTCCTGACGTAAACAAAACATGTTTCCCGGAAAATATTAACGTAGTATTCATTAATGTTTTCAGATAATATTTGTTTTAAATGACAGAAGGAGTTACAAGTTTGTAACTTCAAAAATACTGAAAAACATAGTCTACCAGTGATGTCTTCAATTGCTTCATACGTAACGTTAGCACAATTAAAATAAAATGCAGAATGAAGCTGACAATAATACAACAGTATTATGACAGTTGATTTAAATTTCATCGTAAATTTCATGGCCATAATTAATGCCGGTATGGGCTATAATCTCTACCCCAAAATCGTCTAGGCTCATTTATTGTCCCCGTATCTCCTTCAGACATTCTAAATCTCTTGGTTTCAGAGGTTTCAACTTACTGCATTTAAAAAATGAAAACTAAAGCTGTACCACTATACGCCATATAAGCGCTTGGGAGGAGAGGTTAATAGCTCCTACTAATTCTTGACCTCGGCACTAGATGGGAGTGAGTGGTCAGTATATTTAAGTGGTCAAATATTTTATGCTAAGTTTTCTTCTACACAGTTGCCTGCCCTGGTATAGAAGCCATTTTTCGACGAAATGCTAAATCCTCCAAAAGACTTGTACCATTATTATTATTATTATTATTATTATTTAGTGTTCTGTCTGACAACAGGTCCATATGAACAGGATCCTTCCATCCTTTTCTCGGACTGGGACCTGTTCATATACGTTCTTGGCAGATGATCCAGAAGTGGTTTGCCATTGCCTTCTTCTGCGTGTGAATGGAGTAATTGTTGGGATGCCACGGAGAAACCGGGGAAGAAGCCCCCGGAGGAAAACTCCGTACGCGCAGGTAGCTAACGGGCGTGCAAAAAGATTAGTTTCATCAGCCGTGACCAGCCAACTGGTTGACTCCGGACTTGGGGACGTGTGGCAGATAATTCAGTCAATGACTCCTCCGAGTACACAGGGGATGGCAGTTTCAGAGAAATACACGAGTCAAACCCACCGGCTTTATGGATGAGGATGAGAGAATGTCTGGACGTAGACGGTGAAGACGATGAACCAACTATCAAGACCTGTCACCGGAAAACTTTCACCTCAACACTGTTGTAACCAGATAAAACAAATACTTGCAACGAAGACCTTCTGGCAATGAGAATTCAGTTACCATCCAATTCCGATATTTTGTGCAGCAGTTACTAAAATCTGCAACTATTAGTACCTAAGGCCAGGTTGAAGGAAAGAGAGGACTAGGAAGAAGTTTGATACAGCTAACCGACGACCTTAAACAAGGAAAGAAGATGACGTTCCAGGAATTAAAGCGAGAAGCCGAGAATAGGGACAACTGGAGAGCTCTTTTTGGGCAGAGCAATGGACCTGTCGTAAGACAGAACACTTAATAAAAAATAAAAATTACATCAGTTTGAAATTAACACAAAATTGGACACGTACCTTATCAAAATACCCATCAATGTAAGGGACACATGATAAAATTCTACTGGCTAAATTTATTTCCAAAGAATTAAACCATATTTATGTCTATAAGGTCACGTAAAATTTCAGTTACACAGAGGGAAAACATTTATATATGTATTTATGACGTAGACAGTACTCACCACCGTGTTGGTCAAAAGTTCTCTCTTAATATACGGGACCTGTCGCCTTTCAAGTAACTGCAGGTGTGCCTGGCATCTGGAATATGAATACGGGTAGTTGAACGCGAACTGATAAACATCTTCTTCGCGGTCAAAGCCAAATGCAAATGACAGGACATAGTGATTCTGATGTTCCGGCGAGCGGTAGTAGTAAACGTACTTGTTAGGAATCCTTTGCCTGCAAAATACAAAGATTTAAAAATAAAATTGTTTTCAGGTGAGAAAAATTGATTCTGTCTTCACTGTCCATGCATTCAAAACTAAATTTATATTGACACACACACTATTCTGCGTGTCAGGACTCAAACTTTCTTGATTTAAACAGCACAATAAAGCATTTATTCATATAATAAATTATTTATTTATTTATTTAGTGTTCTGTCTGACGACAGGTCCATATGAACAGGATCCTTCCATCCTTTTCTCGGACTAGGACCTGTTCATATACGTTCTTGGCAGATGATCCAGAAGTGGTTTGCCATTGCCTTCTTCTGTGTGAGTGTGAATGGAGTAATTGTTGGGATGCCACGGAGGAAAACTCCGTGTTGCCTAGACCACGGCCTTGCCCAACACAAGTTATAAATTCGGGCACCGCCGGGAATCGAACCCGAGACCCCAGGATACAGATCAAAATAAATATCTGGTTCCTAATACGAGGGCCTAACTTTGTTTTGGACAAGAATTACAAGCAAAGGGGGTATTAAGTGGGGATTAGATGGAGATAAAGGAAGTGATGTGAAGTGAAGTGTCTTAGTCTCGAAGTGATGAAGTGACTTCAGTTCTTTGGGATAAGATTATCAATTATCATGTACTGAGGTCTGACTTTGTATTTGAGGTTACTCTAAAGTATTAAGATTACTTAATGAATGAGTGTTTTTGAAATGTGTGTGTCCGTGTAAGGTGTGGATGTTCTATTTATGTGTGTAGGGTGTTCTATGGAGTGTACTTATTTTTATTGTATATGTTTTTGTTTAAATCTTGTCAGTCTAATCACAATAAAATTCCTATTAAATATTAAAATATTACCATAATTAACATTTAAATATTTAAAATATTAAGTGATGTTCTTTATCGAAATATTCGATTTACATTAGAACATTTCGATAGAGAATATCATTTAATATATTTTAAATATTTAAATGTTAATTATGGTAATATTTTAATATTTAATAGGAATTTTATTGTGATTAGACTGACAAGAGAACATCTGAAGTTAATTTTAATTTTAATTACTTTCCTTTTGTCTGTAAATAGCTTTTCTCTTTTTATTTATTATTTAGTGTTCTGTCTGAGGACAGGTCCATATGAACAGGATCCTTCCCTCCTTTTCTCGGACTGGGACCTGTTCATATACGTTCTTGGCAGATGATCCAGAAGTGGTTTGCCATTGCCTTCTTCTGTGTGTGAATGGAGTAATTGTTGGGATGCCACGGAGGAAAACTCAGTGTTGCCTAGACCACGGCCTTGCCCAACACAAGTTATAAATTCGGGCACCGCCAGGAATCAAAACCGAGACCCCCAGGATTACATGGCCAGCGTTCTAACCGCTAGACGACCGTGACCATATATAATAAATACGCAAAGACAAAATTAGCAGCTAGTTAATACAATTTTTTCACTAAGTACACATAAACCGCTGTTTTAAACTTTCATTTATTAACAGATATTTTACACCTCGCAATGGGTCGATCCCCAGTTCAAAATATTTAACCAGGAGTCTAGAAACTTCCATTTTCAAAATATAATGTAATTCGGAACGGTCCTGAAGAATTCGACTTTTCCAGAGTAAAGGGATGTAAATCCTAAATGTTCACAAAATAAAAAAAATTGTTTTTTCTAAAAAAAAATACATAAATATTATTATACCATTTATATATAAACTTATAACTTCATAATATGAATCATTTTCTATAGATAAGTTTTACAAAGAAAATTCCTTTTGGAAAGTTTTCTCTGAGAAACTGCGTTCATTTATGTTTCAGTCCACAAAACTAATGTATAACACAATTTAATAATATAATTTGCGAGATATAGTAAAATTTTGAAGATGGCTGTCGTCTGGGTTATTGCGTCCTGATGATGGAGGCAGCAAGGACCTGTGAAACGTCGGTAAACTTTTACCAGACTACACGGCACAACAACCATCATCAGACTCACCGCTGTGAAAACCTCAAATATTACATAGTAAAATTTTGTTTCCCTGAACTTACATTAAATAAATACCATTAATTATAAATCAATAAAAATAATTGTAAAAATCTTTACTACTTGTCGTCGAAAGGAACTTCAGCTTCGTATTTCCAAGTCCCTAATGCTGCATCACATTCAGCAAAACTTGTTATCCTAACCTAATGACTGTAGAGAAATTTTCGATATTCCTTTTGCTTCATAACCAAAGTAATTTTCATTCATACTTTGGCAATATTCCTAAGTGCCCCAACACAAAAGCAGTCTGGAACGTAGGAAAAAAAGTCTGGATGTTTCCTCTCGTTGGTTCAGAGTTGGAAACTAGCCGAAAATCGTAATAAAACAATTTTTGTTTTAACCATTATTCATCAGACACTGCCATTCATTAGCGTAAGAAATGAGCATAAAGATTACTTCAAAGGATGAGAATTATAAGTATCTTCCGTTCGTTATAGCGTCAACATTTTCATATTTTATAAAATTATTCTCTTATATACAAAGAAACACACTTCGCTGTTAGCTAATTTGAAAGTCAATATTTCATCAGTTACGTTCAAAACCAAAACCTCTACTACATATTAAATACATTTATAATTATATTTAATTTTCAAATAATTTATAAATATAAATATTTGATCCTTAATGCACATAGCAGAAGAGTTTACAAAACTTTGAACAATATATTGTATTTTTATGAATAAATGGAAACTGAAGTGAGGTATTAGATAAGCCTATATTCATAATATTTAGGTTAGTGAAAATTTTTAACCCACTGAGTCGGCAGTAGACGCCTTAATGAGACAGGCAGCAAAATTCAGTCGCCGAATTATTATAATTCATTATCCATTAACCGAGGATCGAAGTAATTGCTGTTG